CAAGAGCAGGTTTCACAGCACATGGCTCTGCTGCCCACAAGCAAACCAGATGTTGGGACACAGCACTGTGCTTTCCTCAGCCGCCCAGTCTCTTCCTCAGGCGGACGGAAGAGGTGACAAAGATGACCAAGGAGTACCCATTATTACTCAACTATCAAGAGGAGTTGCCAGTCCCCACAAACACAAATAACTCTGCCCTGACTACTCACCTCCATCCAAGGCACAGAACCACACAGAAGGGATGGGGGGGGGGGGACACCTCAACATGACCCTTCAGAGGGCAAGAAGCACAAAGGAGGCAGGCCAGTGTGGGCTGTGATGCCAAAAGCAACCCGGGAGAGCCTATTGGGCCCTAGGAGCTGACACTGCCCACCTTAGCTGTCATGCCTCTGACACAGACCCCTCACGCCTTGATTCCTGGAGCAGGAGCCTGACTCTGCCTCCAGACCGGGGATTTGGCTCCTGCATCCATTCTTGCACCTGCTCCACGGATAACATCCCAACTCCCTGTCTTTCCAAGCAGAGCTACCCATGCCTTCCCCTCCTCCAAAGAAAGCACTCCGCCTCCCAGACCCCACCAATCAGCAGCCCTGAGGCCGCACAGCGGTTTGCTTCTCCCTTCAGTCAACAGTCAACTAGTTTAACTAGTTTAACTAGAGAGTTTTCAAATTCTGTGAAAGCCCAGAATTCACAAATGAAAAAGGGCCATGAACTAACCCACTTCTAATCCTGCATCAGAGAAGCCCAGAGTCCTGTTTCAGGAGAGAGAGAGAGGTCACGACCAGGACAGTATGCCTGAAATCTTCCAAAAGTGGGAAATGTCCTCTGAAGGCAGAAATTTGATCCGTCCATTGAAAAGTCCACAAACTCCAACTTCAATGATGCCGACCCTTTCTTTATGACATCCACAAGCCCTCGCTCATACCCACCCTGCCACAAAAAAAAAAAAAAAAAAAAAAAAAAAAAAAAAAACCTTTAAGGTTGATTTGACCCAAAGACAGGTAAATGCAGTTCTGATCTGGCCCCACTGCTCCTGACCTACTTGGTCTCCTGCTCGTCCCCTCAGCTCTAGCTGCAGCCAGTTTCACAACTTCTGGCAGACCCACTCATTCCTCAGAGGCCCAGCAAGTTCCCACTGCCACAGCCAGAGCGTCCCTCAGCGTCATCGATCCTCACAGACGTCCCTCTTTCAGAATCCTCTATTCCTGGTCACACAATTTAGCCCCCAGGCCAGAAAAGTCCAGTAGACGTCTCTGCAAGGATGGCCAAGATGGGTCTTCTTGACATTCAAACTGTGCCTGCCAGCTGCATTGTTTATTTGGTTTGATGCCTTCATGTGGGCTACGTTTAATGTTAACAGCCATATACAAACAGTGACTACCATATTTGACAATGCTGCCTATATCTGTCAATCTTGCCTTCTCCAAATAGGTTTCTTGACCCCCACATTTTACAGGGCACTATCTGAATAAACACATGGGAAACGCTCCGCAAACTGTCAACTACCTGGAACCAAACTGCGCGGCATGATCACGAGACTTTCCTCACCTCATGTTTCCATCCAGCACACGTCAAACTGCGATACTGCCCCTGCCAGCCACGCTATCAGTCATCTCTCCAGTGAGGACACAGAAGGAGGACATTGCCTGTGCAGGGGGGCAGGGCGGGTGAGGGTGCTGGTGTTGCCCTTCAACCATGTCCTGGCCAACGGTGGGAGGCTCTAATCTCATTCTGATACCAAAAGCAGCTACGTCACTATGGCACTTAAATGACCTAGTGAGGGAGACACACTGGAGAAAGAGAAGAAACTGCAGGACCTGGCTTCCTCTAATCTACGCAATGGAAAGACAAACAAGAGATAAGTTACGACAACATTCCCTATTTTGTAAAGCAATAACATGCTTCACCTAATCAGCACTGAACAGAAGAGTGGGACAATAGTACGGGCTTTAATTAAATTTGTTCAGCTAATGCCTAAGCGTCACCACGATACAGTGAAGTCGAATGCAGCCAAGTGACCCGCAGGGAATATAGCCAACTCATACACAAATGGATTGAGGCTAGGTGTCCCTACCAAAGAAATAACAGAATCTCCAAAGAATAATAAATAGTATTTCTATCACAAAGTCCCTAATTGGGGAGGGGGGGGGGGACTTGTTACAGATCCAAAACTCATGGAGCTGCCGGGATGGTTTAGAAGCTGCCTCTCCAACTTTAGTAACTACAACTGAGAGGTGACACATACCCACCAGTGTCGTCCGTCCAACGAATGGGCCAATAGGGTCAAGCAGCTCTTCAGGCTCAAGGTACTGTGAAACAGTAACCAGCTGCATGCCTGTCCAGACCACTACAGCCACAAGCAGGGAGGGGCCTGAGACTGCAAACAAGAACCGGGTTCAGCTCCTGCCTCCAACAAGTGAACGGCAGGAGTCTCCACTCGCCTTGGGCAGGTCATGCCCTCATTCTGGGCCTTCGTTTTCTCATCTGCAGAATGAATGTGTCTGGTCAGCTGGCTTCTACCTGACTGGAAGAGTACGTGTGACTCAGAGGCTGGTGAGGAGGGTGATGAAGCAAGGTGACAGCACCCATCAAAAGCATCTAAACACCAGCTTCCCAACGAGGACAATGGGAAAGCAGCAGGGCCAGTTGGCTCCTTTATTTATTTTTACTTTATGTGTATGGGTGTTTTGTCGGCATGTATGTGCGTGCAGCGATTGTCTAAGTGTGAGCACAGGAAACAGAAGAGGCTGTCCGAACCCCTGGAACTCGAGTTACAGTTCTCTGTAAGAGCAGTAAATGCTCCTAACTGCAAAGCCATCTCTGGATCATTTTTAAAGCTCTGGTTTTGCTTAACAGGACAAAGAGCAGAACCTGTGAGCAGCCTTCACTCCCTATCCTATCTCCGGGCTACAAGACGGCAGACTCCCAAAATCCCCTAAGAGCCAGGCTGCTGGGCCACACTACGCCCTGGGTCCTTCCGCATGGGTTCAGGGTACTCTACAGAGCACAGGTCTCGTCTTTTCTTAGCCTCCAAAGGGTCATCTACGCAGCCCGTTCACTATATCCTCTTCCCTTGATGCTGCGTTTAAAAGGCTCCTTGTTCTGAAATCGTTTCACGACTCAACACCTGAAGTTTTGAAGTGTCACACGCAGAAATCTCTGTGGTGTGTGTCACTGAGCCGGGATTTCCTTTAACAAGCTCCCCCACAGCTGTGATTATGTCTTAGCCAATATTTGGGTAGGAAAGTGCTGCTGCCTGCTCTGCTGCCATTCTCCAAGCATCTTGGCTCTCCTTCCTTCCTCTATTATTAAATCTTAACTCATGGACGTATGAGAAATCTGCAATTTAACAGTTGAGTCAGCTCCTAAGATCCAGGAGCAGGCTGCTTGTCAAAACAGACTCCGGCTTCAATCTTCACCCACTCTGACTAGAGAAGGAGAAGCACGAGGATTTGTTTAATGTGCTGCTAGGGTTTTCCCTTTCAAACCTATTCAAAGGAGAGAGAAAAAAAATACACGAACTTCTCTTCTGTTAATTACAACAGGGTCTGAATTGACAGGCTAGGATGGTGTGTGCAGCAGAACAGGAAGGGGGAAGGGGTTTTGTTGTGAAGTCTTTATATTGTGTTCCAACTATCCAAGAGAATCAACAGCCAGTGTCCCCTCAGCCTGCTGATCGGTAAAGGCAGATGGCATCTCAGAGGAGGGGGAAATCTTTCCGGGAAAGAACATCTGTCACTTCCTCAGCCATACAGTTAACTGTGGTCAAACTGTTCGCACATCTCCAGTCCCCAAGGTCAGAGCCGCATCAATCCAACCATGCGGGTCGAAAGGGGAGGGAAAAGTACAAAAACTGCAATATTCACGGCAGGGATAAGAGTCCCGCCCTGACATTCAACACCAAGCAACAACCGAGATCCTGCAGAAAGAGTTTACAGTTTAAAAAAAAAAATCTGATGTTGAGGATGAAGACAGCAAAAACAATATCCTGGAATAGAAACTAGACTTACTCGCCCCCTACAAAGTACCAAAGGGTTTTAGTCCAACTGAAGGTATATGCCAACAGTCTCACCCATAACTCATGGGTAGTATATAATAGCTGAAACAAAGCAAGCTGTGTGGGCTGAAGGGGAAGAGAAAAATATAACACAGGAAGCAGTTCGCTCCTCCAATCATTGAGACACCCCAGGGGAAAGAAACTTGATAGTGACCTTTAGAGACATGGTGTAACTTGAAACCCTTGGAGGAAGAAAACTTTGTAGGGACCCTGAATGACAGACTCACCCTTCACTGGGACCTTTTGAAATCCCCATTCTCCACTACCAAAGAAACAGAGACACCGAGACACAGAAAGAGACAGATGGACCTGGAGAGATTAAAAAAAAAAAAAGAGTGCGTTTCCGAAACGCAAGAATAGGTTTTCCAGCCTTGAGTCGCGAGCTACCAGGACCAAGCTGGGCTTGCAGAAACAGCACTGGGCCCAGCCTGCCTGCCTTACAGAAAAGGTTTCCTACGGTGCGTGGAGCAATGGAAACAGCGCGGCACAGCCTGCGGGGCAGAGCAGGCCAGGCTCTGGCGGTTCCAGACAATCGCGGGGCACGGAGGCGGGGTCCCCTGTCTCCAACACCGCGCCGACGCGCCCCACCACTGAGCGCCGACCTCGCGAGGCCGCGGACAGCTAAGTCACTTTCCGGCTCCCAAATAAGGAGCAGGGTTAAGTAAACCTCAGAGAGCGAACTTCTCCAAACCGACCGACCAACCAGCTCAATGAGTAAAGGGCCTTTTGTGCCCGCAGAAAGGAGGGAGGGAGGAGGATGGGGCCACCGTGGCCTCGGCGCCGGGTGAAGCGAGCAGAGGCTCGGACCCAAGCGTGGCTACCGGCTGGATCCCACTCGCACCCCAACATGGCAGTCCCCGAAAGTCCTCTCGGGTCCCGATCACTCGCGGAGTGACCGGAAGCTGCACCTATCCCAGCGTGTTCCAAGGCGGCCCAGACTTACCTTCAGGGCGAATTTCTGCTGGGTTCTCTTGTCGAAGATCCGCAACACCTTCCCATTGATGCCCAGGCCCAGCACCTGGCTGGTGACCTTGTAGTCATCGGTGATGGCGTTCTTTCGGATCTGCAGGCCCGACTTGACGTGGAACTGGGGGAACGGCGGCGGCGGCTGGGCCGGGGCGGGCGGCGGCGGGCTGGGGAACGGCGCCGGCGGGGTCTGGCCGGGAGAGCCCGACAGCATGGTGCCCGGCGACTCGCGCGCAGAGGCGGGGGCCGCGGCCGCCCCCTCCTCCGGCTCGGGCCCGGGTCCCCGCCACGCCCCGCCCGGCGGCGAAGTTTGCTCCGGGCTGGAGCCGGCTGCCCCGCCCCGGCCCGGCTCCAGGCTCGGCGGGTCGCGGGGCCCCGTGGGTCCCGCTGTGCGCCGCGGGCGCCCACCAGCCCTGCTCCCTCCCCCCGGAGACGTGCGCTCCGGGGAACGCGGGACGGCGGGGCCCGGCCGGGGGAGGGGGGGGAATGGCCGCGCCGAGAAGTAGCAGCCCGGGGGCGGCGGCCGCGTCACAGGCTGCTCTGCGTCCTCGGCTAGTCCTTAAAGGGGAGGACCGAGGGTGGGGCTTAGAGGAGGCGTGGGTATGGGGGAGGGGTGGACCTTAAAGGGGAGGCTGTCCAGCGGCGGGAGAGCAAAGGGACATGGTTGGCTGGGGTTGCGAGGTGGCCGTCAGGGAGAGAGTAAAGAGAAATCCTAGTTCTTAACCAGGGCCAGGCGAAAGGAAGCGGGAGGGCAAAAGAAAAGCGGTTGGATAATTCAAACAAAATCCATAATTCTCCAGCTGCTGGGTTCTAGAAGATAGGTCATCAGAGAATTTGGAGAGGGTGTATTTTGAAAGAAACGAATGATTGATAAAGATCTGCCTGCCTACATGGACCCTGGGGTGTGGAGGGTACTGGGGCACTAATGGGGTTACAAGGCTATTCATCCTAGGATCAGGTGTCAGGCAATAGTCACGATTTTCTTAACATTTTTGTGAGTTTCACATTTTTTTTCTCATGAAAATGTATTGCTGTGTAGTCATGAACAATTTGGTTATTGTACTTTGAACGTATTTTTTAATGTAAATCCGAAATGACCCAATATGGAACAGGGATGGGCACTGTAGTGCCCTGTAATCCCAGTTATGTGCGGGAGGCTGAGGCAGGAGGATGAACAGTCAGAGGGTTAGCCTGAGCAACAAAGGCAGGCTTTATCTCAAACACCCACAAACCTCGGAACTCTCCTACATATACCTTCCCCTTGTGTTTTGAATTCTTGGGGCTAATGCAGCAAGGGGAACTAGGATGGGGGGATTCATCCCTGAGGCTACAACCAGAAAGAAGTGTTTCTGAAGCAACCTTGTTCAAGTACCAGTCTCTGAGGAAAGGGGCTAATTGGCCAATAGCATGGCTGAGACCCACAAGACTCTGACTGTCAGAGCGCTTGAGAAATGAGACCAAAGAACAAAGTCGATACACAGCCGCAAGTTACTGACAGATACAGACAGCCTAGAGATGAGGTCTGACCCACGGCCACACACAGTCGCTAATATGTCCCAAGAACACTCTGGAGATGAGGCAGTGTCCTGAGACAAGGGCCTTGGAGACATAACCTAGAGGGTAAGGCTCTTTTGCTAGTGTCTACTCACTGTTCAGAGTTTCAGAAGATGCTTGTCCCAGGGAAAGCAGAAATGAAAAGGTGAAGGACTGTAGTCACCTTCTCAGGATCCAGCAAAACTCACTATGGACCAAGGAGACGTCTGGTCCCCTTTCAGGTAGCCCTTTCTTCAGTGATACTCTGAACTCAGCCCTGTGGTGACAGATGGTGATAATCCTAGCCCAGTGGGGAAGACACGGTAGTTGGGACAGCAGTGTGGCAGAGGTGGACCTGGGGTTAGAAGGCAGATTCACTCACCAGTCTGCAGCTGGCTGGCTTCCTTCTGCCCTTAGAAGCTAGACGATTGGAGCTGAACAATTCTGGGTTTCCCTGATGTTTAAAAGGCACTGCTCAGAGATGCAAGAACAGAGAAAGGAACTCGGGGATGAGGAGGAGGAAGTCCTAAGTGGCTCAAGTGGAAGGGGCTCCCATCCTTACTACCTCTGTGTTGCCCTGAACCCCCACAGAGCAGGGTGGGGTCTCCAGGACTTCTTGTTGGAATTCAGCCGTCACCTGATTCTTTTTAGAAGGCTGAAACAAGAGTGAGCTGTTCAGAGGCAGCAAGGCACAGTGGGAAACAACGAGACAGAAATGAGCAGGACCCAATTGGCCTAGTAAGGTACCTTAAGCACCTCTGTCTTGAAAAATGAGAAAAATCCTAACATTTTCATTCATAACTGAGTAACAATTAAATTAGATGGCGTCTATGATAACTCTTCATAAGGCACACAGCATCTGTTCTCATGAGATATTAAACACCACCGTTCCTCAAGCATTGTTTCCTTGCTTCTCGCTCTGTTCCCATTGCCTGGAGACCTGCTCCTGACACTGAGCTGCCTTTCCATGTAAGGGCAATTCTGGAGAGATGCCTAAACCTGAGGTTCTGGGAATAATGGATCACAGAAACCCAGTGGGGCGTTTCTTCTGGAGTTACAAAGGCCAGATGGACTTAGGGAGCACACAGGACAACCAAGACACATAGTCCACATGCACACCCCAAAAGTACACTCATGTGAACACAGCTCAAAAGGACAAGACATCTGGGCATGGAGCAGTATAAATGAGTAACCAGTGAGTAGCCAGATAGTAGGAAGAGCCACACGAAAAGGATTTCTACAAGAGACCCAGAGCCTTCTATCCTAACACCAGCTAGTCATGTGACCTCACAAAAGTCCCTGACCACCCAGTTCCTTCTTTCCTGTCTAAAAAAATAGTAGAAATAGCATCTGCTTTATCCACATTGTAGAGATATTATAAGGAAAAAAATAAAACCCAAAGTCCTGCTTATCAATGACCACGCCTCTCAGCCATCTGTAGTGAGCTACTACAGCAAGCATTGTTAAGCCTGTGTAAAAACAATTCAAAAGTTGGAAGTCAGGCTGGGGCTATAGCTCAGTGATAGAGTATATGCTTACTATGTGCAAAGCCCTGGCTATGAGCCCCAGCAAAGCATTAACTAAAAGTATGTTGGGAATCTATTTACAAGAAGATATGATCCGTACTGACATGCAAATGCATACATCATGTAATATAGTATACATGAAGGTAATGTAATGACCAAACGTATATAGAATTGCATCAGTTCTAGTCCCAGATCCATGACACATGTTGGTCTGTGTGTTTCTGGTTTTATTTGATTATAGTTATAATACCAAAGGCACCTATGGACCCACTACCCAAAACACAAACTAGGACTTGAACAATAGCATGCGTTTAAAGAGATGATTCCTAGGTACCCTCCAGCCCATCCCCAGTGTGCGTTACCCAAGACAACAGTCACCTGCATGTTCTATCCACCCTTCCCTTACTTTCCTTTTTATACAATTCTAGTTTAAGAAGACGCATTTAAAGATATCATTAAAAGATGGATGGGATGGTTTAAATCTGTAAACACAGCACTTTAGAGGATGATGCAGGAGGATTGATGCAAGTTTGAGGCCATGCTAGGCTACATTATTTTTTTATTTATTTTTTATTTTTTTTAACTTTCTTTTTGTTTTATTGAGAAAAAAACAATTTCCGCCTCCTCCCAGCCTCCCACTCCCCCCCCCAACTCCTCTCCCTCTCCCCCCACTCCTCTCCCCCTCCCTCTCAAGTCTGAAGAGCAGTCAGGGTTCCTTGCCCTGTGGAAAGTCCAAAGTCCTCCCCACCCCCATCCTGGTCTAGGAAGGTGAATATCCAAACTGGCTAGGCTCCCACAAAGCCAGAACATGAAGTAGGATCAAAACCCAGTGCCATTGTCCTTGGCTTCTCAGCAGCCCTCATTGTCCGCCATATTCAGAGAGTCCGGTTTTATCCCCTGCTTTTTCAGTCACAGTCCAGCTGGCCTTGGTGAGCTCCCAATAGATCAGCCCCACTGTCTCCGTGGGTGGGTGCACCCCTCTTGGTCCTGACTTCCTTGCTTGTTTTCTCCCTCCTTCTGTTCCTTATTGGGACTTTGGGAGCTCAGTCCAGTACTCCAGTGTGGGTCTCTGTCTCTATCTCCATCCATCGCCAGATGAAGGTTCCGTCCAGATGGAATTCCTCAGCAACTCGCTAGGCTACATTATTGAAGGAAGATGCCTGTTGACTCCCAGCCACCCAGCCCCAAAATAATCACACAGAAACTGTATTAATTAAATCACTGCTTGGGCCATTAGCTCTAGCCTCCCACTGGCTAACTCCACATCTTAATTTAATCCATCTCTATCAATCTGTGTATCACCACGTGGCTGTGGCCTGCCAGCTAAAGTTCCAGCGTCTGTCTCCAGCGGGGCTACATGGCCTCTCTTTTTCTCTGCCCTTTTTTCTCCCAGAATTCAGTTTAGTTTTCCCCGCCTACCTAAGTCCTGCCCTATCAACAGGCCAAGACAGTTTCTTTATTCACCAATGATATTCACGGCATACAGAGGGGAAATCCCACATCACTTCCCCTTTCCTGTTTAAATAAAAAGGAAGGCTTTAATTTTAACATAGTAAAATTACATATAACAAAACAGGTATCAAGTAAGAATTACAGTTATAATATTTATATCTACTTTATCTTTTATCATAACTAAGGAAAACTATAATTATAACTATTTTTTAACTCCATCAAAGACTCTAGAGGATGTAATATTACCTAAGTAAACAGCAAGTGCATTGCAAGCAACTTCTAAAACTCTAGAATTGACAGAGACATCTCGCTGCCTAGACAGTCACCCAAAGTTCTTCTGTACTGTTGGGGCATCCATCTTTAGCCTACAGGCCCACAGTGTCCAGCAGACTTTTCCATGAAGCAGGAAATTTCAAAAACAGTTCTGTCTATATTAGCAGTTTGTCAGTCACAGTTTTTTCTGTGTACTACAGAATGTCTGGCAGACTCCATATTCTTTCATGAAGCAGGAACCCCAAAGGATCATCTCACCTTTAGGCAAGTTCAGCAATCATTTATCTGTGGGTCCTGCATGTCCAGTTCATCAAGAAGTCCAGACAAGAGCAGTTTCTTGCCCAAATGGCTAACCAACTCCATAAGGAGGCTCTTTGATGCCCATCTTTTTCTTGAAGTAATTGGTGCTCCTAGGAGCAGATGTGTCTCACTGTCCTAAGTTCTTAAACATTTTAAATGTCATATTCTGTAGTCTTTGAAAGAGTTGAAAAATACCTATCTAACTGAAATAGAAAACCTAACTAACATGACTACAAGCTTGACTATTATAGATGATAAATGAGCTGCACAAACACAATACCTTAATCAAGAGCAGAAATATACATATAACAAAGTTGATCTTAAATTTATATCAATAAACCAAGTTCTATACCAATGCAAAGTATCCATCTCTATAGTATATCCCCCTTTCAATGTAAACAAACATTTATAAACAATATTTGGGAATATGGGCATAGTTCTATAGACTGCT